CCCCCCCCCCCGAAATAAAAACCTTGAAGCCAAACCATAGATTAATCAAGGGGCCTATTCAAATGTGGAAAATTAATACTAAAAAAGAACGAGTTCATGGTTGCTAAGCTAGGCATATTACAAGGATATTGGTTCAGATGAGATTAGTAGAAGAATATTAAAAAATCTCGATTTTGAAATAAAATTTCCACCACTGAAGCGAGGTGAGCAGAGTGGACAAGAGAATTTGAGGGGAATAAACAGATAAACATTGAACGCCTAGGTAGAGCATAGAGTACCTTACTTCGAGGAAATTTGATTACCACAAGCCAAGGTGATCCTTGTGCCCCACTCAGAATCAGTTGCACTCTCTAAGTTGAGTTAATTTAATAAAAGAACAGTTGTATTTACTATCAAGTAAATACGTGAAACGTCGTGTGTCAATATTCAAGAATAAGTAGCTGTAGATGGGGTTGAGACTTTTGAAAAAAAGGCCTTTGTGTTTTATTACCTGAAACTGGTGAAATTGACTGCATTGAAATACGGATATTTTGGTGTTTATACGCAGGCATAAACATGCAAAAACAAAACTAAGCTAATAGATGAAAGGGGTTAAAATAGTGAAATCATTTAAACAAAGGGGGAGAGAGAGAAACAGATACGGGCGAAATTAAGTTGAAATTTTAGTCAAAAATAGTACCTATTGGAAAACAATGAGCACTAAATTCAAACTGACTAATGAAGTAACCAAAGTCATCTAATAAAAATAATAATAATGAGCATTGAAATTAGCTTTTAAATAGCTAATCAATCACAGGGGAGAAGTTGAAGGACGGCCTTGAAACCAGAACGGAGCATATTGAAACAACTAACTGGAAACGAAACGAGCTTGACAAAGCTCTCAATTTGAACAAGTGATTACCCCCCCCCCCCACCACCCAGGCTGTGATCGCTACAGACTGCGTCTTCAGAAAAAAATGGCTTCCAGCTGCAATTAGGAAGACGAATAGGGTAGCATCATGGAGTCTCCTAAACGATTAACATTAATTATTAAGCACCAATCTATTGGCAATTGTGCTGGTTAAGCACAGTTGCCAATTCCACTCAGTTGGATGCACGCCGAAGAGCATCGAAACCCTAAGGTCTCGTTTATTTCGCAGGCAAATATGTCAACTGCTGTCCCCACGTGGCTTTAAAAGCGAAGGCGGTAGTTGTAGAACAAGAAGTTAGGCCCATAAGTTAATTTTTCCTTACTTCAGTGAATTAAGCCTCTCGAGACGAATTTCGTTCAAATTCATTGATTTCGGAACTAGAGATCCTTTGCATTCTCCGAATTTTCTCTACTTCATCCCGACCTTACATTTCATTTGTACTACTACCAAACCATAGAGTCTAGAAGATTGTTCTTTGCTTTGCCAAGAGCATAATTCACTAGACAGACAAATAACCTGCATATCTCCAATAGAGTCAATAAAGCAAAATCGATTACGTATATGACTTTGATATAGGTTTAAGCAAGTTACCACTATAAGTAAATAAACACTAAAGTGAAAGGCATTAGTGATGGATTCTTAGACCCCATACATAGAAAATAAAAACAGACCACAAACGCACCAATTTTTGAGGGAAAGATGGCTTCATTTTCGAGGTGATTTTGCGTCCAAACCATGAGATTGTTGATGTAGCGTGGAGCGGAGCACTTGACCGGCTTTTTCACGGTCTGCCCATCAGCCCAGTAGTACTCGTAACGCGGTCCTGCCGACATGGTGGGACAGGTTGTGTCAGTACAAAACTCAGCCAGGGTGCCATAGAGCATGTTGATTTGTTGGAAGAATTCCACAGCTAAGTTAGGAAAAACAGAAAGTCACTAAAGGAGAGGTAAAAATGGTGGCAGTAGTAGTAGTAGTAGTTGCAGACTAAATTTGCAATTAGGTTTATCAATTTACCCCGGCTTTCACAAACATCACATTTTACTCGACTGATTACATGGTGTATCCAAAACTCGTCGTAAGAAACAATTAAATGATAATTTGATCTCCAATAATTCATAAATCTGTCCAAGAATTGATAATAAATCTCGAAACACCTTAGCTCGCTTTGTCTATAAATAATAGATAAGAAGGAAATCGTGCTCGACGAATCTCCTTTCCCTCTATATGTCTAGGGCTCTAAAGTTAAAGGAGTGATAATTAAAGAATTCCCTCTGTTTATTATCCGATGCTGAATAAATGGAAGAATGGGCCACAATTAGTACCTACCTCCATTTGCAAAATAGTCTCATCACCAAGAAAACGGAATTCGCCACCAAAAATGCTTAGCATGGAATTAGTGCTTTAATTGCAAACTACGTAGGCGTATCATTTAAAAGCAGCCCAGAAAAGAAGGTAGAAAAAGAAACACACAAGAAAAATGGCCTAGTTCAGAGATCACATTGGTGAATACTAATCAGAGAGAGTATTTATTCCAATCGCTCGACATATATTGATTAATCTACGATAAAATCCCCTGGAGTGCCTACTATGCGAAGAGGAAGCAACATTCTGAAGTACTCCTGTCTCAGATACTTTAATTCAATACGGATGGGAGCACAGTCACCGTTAACAACTCAAACTGACGAACAACTGAGCCGTTGGCGTAGTGATCAGCACACATCTTCGCAATCCGAGGTTACGAGATAAATATCCATTGACGCATATGCAGTCGTTGGAGGGTAACCGACAGCTTTGGCTATTGCTGGTCCACAAGAAGGGCGACAGAATGTGAAATATCTTCCATCTATTAAAGATGTGGTTGCTAGTACATCCCCATCTGGCCTTGGAAAATCAAGCGAAATTACATCAAGCAACCTTTTACTACTCATGGGAATGTCCTAACAAGTTTTCTCCCCAAATAGCCTTGCAACCAATACTCCTAAACCATTTGGGAGTTATTCAAAAGTACAAGAAGGTCGCAAACGGGATTTCTTGCTCTGATTTATTGAAAATGCAATTAGGGAAATACATGTATATAAATTCTGCCAAATGTGAGCATTTTACTAACACAACAGAAAAAGCAGAAACTCGAACCACAAGAAAGGTAACGCAAAGTATGGAGGTATGCCAACTCACTAAACAAAATATTTCGATGGAATCATTTCTCAAATGCACACTATGCATAATAGTTATCTCCACATCCTCGTGGGAAAAAAGGATCCTTCAAATTGAAGATATAAAAGGAAATGCTGCAAAAATTTAGGAGCCAAATAAAACACGACCTCAGATGGATAAAAATACCTAACTTTAATTAGAACGCATTAACGATTTTTAAGCACCCAAATCGGTCAAAGGAGTGAGTCAGAGAAGTATGTGGTTGAGGTTTGACCTTGTGAGCTTAAATATCAGGCGATTTGATTTCAGATTATGGCGAAAGAAAAAGTTACGAGAAAATATCAGCGAAATATGATAAAGGTAAACTTCACAATAGCAATAAGAATTGTTAATATCAGCGATAAAGGCAATTTCCACTAGGGAATTGTTAAAGCAGCTTTAGAAATGTAATAAATTCATTGCAACAGAGGAAACTGGGGCTAGTGCTAATTAGAATACGTTTGATAAACAACCCGATAATCATTAAGACTTCATTTTCAAGAAGGACTATATGAATAAATGCGTATAAAACGCTAAAGATAGCAAAAAAGATTCAAGGTTGGGTAGAGATTGTAATAAGATCATATTTTCCTATTTAATTTTAAAGTAGGTTTAGACTTAGCGAACTCATTAAGGACGATATATAAAAAATATTAACATACTATTAACTGCGACCCATTCACATAAATCCTCTCCGGTAGGAAGTCTAACCGCTTGTTTAAGATCTCCACTTCCGAGCGTTCCAGCGGCTTCGGGTGGAAGTACACAAACCCCATTGGCATTTGTAGTTACTCCTGATGAAGAGGAAATCCCATTTCTAGCATAATCTCCACTAGCAGCTGAAGAATTACTTTTCTTTTGTCGAAATGTCCGCGAACCTGCTCGGTTACTATTGAGTGAAGCACGATAAAATAGATGAGAAAAGAAGACAGAAAAGTGAATAAACCAAAAAATATTAGTAAGAATGGTAAATGAACAATAGAAAAGATGGTAAGAACAGTCAAGCAAAACTGAAGTCTGTTAGCGGCAACGATTAGTGAAAGAATTAAAGTAAAAGAAACATGGAGAGGAAACTACCAATTACGGGGAGAGTCTTTCACTTCAAAGGGGTTCACAACACACCAAAAACGTTTTTTCATGGAGCTAGATTAACACCATACGCTGAAAATAAAATAAACTGATTGCTAGGGCATAAAAATTACGAAATGAAATTAGATGTAAACGAAAAAATTAAAACAGGGAAAGCTAAGGCAGGAATTTCGAAATTAGCAAAGAGAAAATGCCAGCCTGATAAGAGAAATAGTCAATAAACTCATTACGAAATAGTTCCTATATCCATTAATATCAATTTAAGCAAGGAACCAAGCAAACAAAGCAGATGAAACTTTATTCAACTTTAAAACCTACAAAATAAAATTCATTTGATCCGAATACCAAATTACTCGAAAACTGGCGGTAGGTTAACGAACTATCTAAATGACAAGTCAGGTGAACATAAATATAATAGGCATATATTTTAAAGATTAGTAAAAGTAATATTATGGGAACCAAATTTTTGCTGCCAAATAAATTTTTTTCAAGAAACTCAATAAGACATATCTTTAGTGTAAACTTTAACAATATAAAATAGTTTTATATTTATTTCAACAACGTTATATATTTTTTCCATTCAGTTTAAGCAAAATTGCATTATTGCAAATATAATAAGCAATGTTGATATTTACTTTATTCTCACAAAGATTTGTCCTATTATTTAAAACTGTGTTCGCCTGTTTCGCGTTTTAGAGTTATTTTGTTTGCTCACCCATGATTCCCTAGTTAAAAGGAAGTATTTTAAACATTTACAAATGTGAGTAATTATTTGTTTATATCCTTGACATTATTGCTGTTAGTGATTCCTTAATTTTACTATTTTTAAAAATTTGTACACATATTCTTTTCACTCATATTAGTATGCCTCTAAAACTCTGAATTTCTTCAGCAAACGTGTTCTGGTAGTGTTTAATGATAAATTTTCTTGCCTTTTTTCACTTTTGCTAGCTTTTGGCTTTCTGTTTTTTACAGTGCCATTCACTTGAAAAAGTACGTATTTTTTAATCACTAATTCAGACTATTTCAAGAATTTCATTTTACTTTGGTGGGCTTAGCTACATTTAAACTTTTTACTCTGCTTTTCGCGATTTGTCCTTTGGTGTAATTTTGTTTTCAAATCGTGTTTGAGTCTTTATCTCTTTTGACACTCGAATATTCTTTATAAACTTCATTTGCCATTTCCCTATTGCGATTCCCGTTTGATATTTCCTTCTGCCTCTTTCCATTTTCATGTTTTAACTTTTAGTCTCTTCTCATTTCATTTGTTTTTCTTCCTTTTTATTTGTTGAGATTAATTTTATTTGTCATCTATTTTGATATCGTCTTTCTTTCCATCTTGATTAACGAATCGTAATTAGGACGTTAAGCGGAGTCTTCTTAAGCCTTTTATAAAAAGATATATATTATTTAACAAGTCATGTTCTCATGACTTTATATTGGTAATTATTCCTTTTCAATATTCGGTCTGTTATTCTATGCTTCATTTTACTCGTTCGGTTCAAGGTTGTTTTCAGTAGAAAAGGTTTTCTGTAGAAGTTTTACTTTTAACTAGACTTTAGGTCTTGGTCTATTTTCATCTAGTCCTCGAGTCTCTGTCGGACAAATTCTAATGTGCAACTCTGAAGGGTCTCTCGTGTAGTATAGCTGCTCCGTGTGCAAACCCTCCCCCTACTTAGCTCGAGAATTTGTTGAATCCTCGTAGTAATTCTTTTCGATATGCTTCGTGGTCGCGCATGTCCTCAATTGCTCAAATTCTTTTTTGTGTGTTAATCCATATTATTGTAAGATTTTTTAATTGAAATGTATTAATCTCTTGCTTTTCTAAGTGCAATTTTTTCGGTTTCCAATAATGATCAATGCCAATGGTTGATCTGTATTTGAGTTATGCTTTTTTGGTTCCTGTGTGCATTTTTTTCTTTCGCTTATTCGAAATTTCTGCTTACCCTCCTTTTAAGAAAATTACCCAATTGCCTCCCTTTTCTGTGTCACTGCATTCGAGTGTATGTTTAATCTACTTAAAAAAATTCTAAAAAAACACACCTGACAGTTTGTGTGTAACCTCTGCGCTTGCATACGCACACGCTCCGGCGTTAACGACCTCATGTGGAGGCTTTTCAATTTGGGTGTTTTTTTCACACGCGCTATACTACTGACTAATGTAAACAGTAGTTGGTTATTTGTAATTATGTTAGTTGGGCTTTTTTGATACCAAAATTGACTTCGCGCTATATATATATATATATATATATATATTTATTTATTTATTTATTCGAGGTTAATTTATACTGACCAGGTGTTATATATTTCTAATTATTTTTTTCGTGGGTCGTATACAATGCTTGCGTGACTGCACAATTTGTTTCCTTTAGTTCAAAAGTTTAGAGTAATTGAAAGTTCCCAATTGTGCATTATGGGAAACAGTTGAAAACGGTAGCAGGGTAATTCGAAAGGATCTAAAGGACACTGTGGACATTATCTCGAGGTAGCAGGAGTCTTGCTTTATTTCCTTTTTTGTATTTGGATTACGCAATATTTACTAAATGGGTAGTTCACATCTCAAAATCTAAATTTCATTTTCCCTGGTTATTTTATCAGTGTTTGGGCTATTCCTGCCTCCCCGCCCCACTGTTCCATATCGGGAGTTTATACTGAATTGGAATGCCTTGGCACTGTGATGGTAGATGTTGATGCTGGTCAACCAATATTTCCCATTCCTTTTTTTCGTAAAACGTTTTCCAATATCTGTCTTCGACTATTGAGTGCTCTCATTTTGCCTTCATGACGTGAAACTCGAATTCTTTTAGCACTTTTAAACAGTGCGGTTGACCATCACGTAACCTCACAGCCACGTTAACCGCTGCATCATCAGTCCATTTAATTCTGGTTATCTAACTTCATCTTGCATCCAATTTTCCTCATTTACATGGATGTGGAAAAATTATAAGTGGGTACTTAAAAGAAAGATATATACATTCATTAATTTTGTCTTAAAAAGATGTTATGAAGCTCTTAAATGCAATGGAGTCTATGTTGGTCTAAATGTAATGCTATAATTTTATAATGAGAAGGCTTTCAGTTCCCATAAGATGATGGTGAAGTCTAAAGTAAGATCATTTCTCAATTCATTTCAATAGTTGGGGTAACTTGCTGATCCTTAAAAAACGAGCGTCTTTAACTTTTCTATAATTAGTCTGTCGCAGCATTTATCTATTTCCGTATGAACTCAATTTAGTTGGGTTGGCCAAATTTTCCAATCTGCTTTCTACCTTAACACGATTTCCTCCTTTCTCTAATTCCACTCCAGAGTCGTCGTCCAATACTTTCATGTTGTTCTTTTTAGACCAGGGATGCAGTCGACATCACCGCCGCCGCCACCACCCTACGCCTCAAAGCATACAATAATCGCGGCGCCTCCAGCTGTATCAAATCGATCGCCTCTCTCCCCCACCGCTGGCAAAGTCCTCTCCCCTGACCCCACTTCTCCAGGTCATCGTGTTTCCACTGCACTCAACATCACCTTCTCATCCCCACCGCCCACGGAGGCTAATCGACGAGATGTGTTTATTGGAGATTCAAATACTAGGCGATATACTGTTCAGAGAGTCACGAATCAGCTACCGGTCTCCTCTTCTCAAGTTAATAGTAGTGGTGGAAGTAGTAGTAGTAACAGTAGTGGCTTTAATAGCGCAACTTCGGGAAGTAATCCGCCAGCTGATTGGAAGCACGGTGAGTTTATTTGTTAATTGATATATTCAGTGACGACTAGGGTTTATTTCCAATAACTTGGGTGATCATAATATTTACCTGTTAATCTGAATGCTGTGATGAATAATGTTTCACTCTACAGCTCCTTATCTATCCTGTCTAGATGACTGAATACGCTTATTGTCGAGGTTCCATATTGCTACTCTGTTCAACTTGTATTTTGGGTAAAGCTTTTCTCACTGGGCTTTGGTTTTAGTAAATTAGATGCTTAGTGTTTGAACTTATATTAGAGAATCTTCATTTATCGTTTCAACTTGAGAAATTCACGCTTGAGTGCCTTTTTGATACTAAAAAAGCGACGACGACAAGAATCAGTAAAATGACCTTTATACTCGTATGATTACTGAAGTTGTTCTTACAAATATAGCTCTTATAAAAATTAGTTATATTCATTGCAATTCAAGTTTATTCCTGATGTTATGTTTGGTAGTTGATGAAGGTTGCATATTCGTATTTAGATCTGCTGAATAGCACCTTTTTGTTGAGCTATAGATCTTAAGGTTGTTTGTCCTAAATTTGGAATGATTAACGTTGAATTCGACTTGCTTATTTATAGACATTTGACTTCAATATAGGAATATAAGCTTGGCACATCCACATCAGTTGATACTCTAATCATGACTGTGTTTGGAATTCATACAGTCAGGTTGAAGCACGAATTTTCATATGATTTGAAACAATATTGTTCTAGAATTCACCTGTAACCTTCTGGCACATATAACACCTTAAATTTATTTAAATGTTCAATTAAATCCTCATTCACTGTTGAATCAATGGCCTCCCTTCTGCACCCATCTTTCATTGGTACATCAACGCGTCCATATGTGCCACCTTGTGCCAATTGGCTTCCAGCCTTCACACCCACTCTTGCACCGTGCGTGAATAGAATAGAATGAATTAATGGAGACGGCAGCGCACACGCATATATCTGACTGCTGCCACATAGGCACACAAGCAAGTAGTCATGCTTTTGCCCTCTGAGCGGCGTCTTTTATCCACGGAAGGAGGGTCGTCGGCAGAGTTATCACCACATCATCATCCCGTGGTACTGTCACGTAGCAACAGTGCCTCTTCCACTTCTATAGCCTCGTCTTCTCCCTCTCTAGGTATCTGCGCTGAGTGTGGTGGAAGGATTACTAATGTTGCGACGGCTTGCCAAGCTCTCGGATGCTTTTACCATGATAAATGCTTCGTCTGCTGTTGCTGTCGTGAGTTTTTCTTTTTATTTTCATACTTTCCACTCTTTTTGAATGTTTGTCATTATTTAACTATTATAATTCTATATGATTAGTTCTTTAATAAATGGTTTACCGAAGGAGCAGACACAATGAAAAACTGAGATGAGTATAACTTGGCTATCAGGAAATCTCCCTTCATTTGATGTTTTGGATTCACCGCTCATTACTTGATGAGCATAATTCACGCTCTTTCATCTTCTAAAATTCTGAATTTTAAGTCTCTTCGCCTATTGGCTGGTTGGCAAACGTCAATGGATGGTCTCGTTTTTTCGCATTAACTTCCTTTAATAATGGTTAAATGCTTAGAGGGTAAATGTATTTTGCCATAGTGGACTGCTATTTCAAATATTTTCCCTCAGTTATGACTGATTTCAATTTATGCTTATTATCCTTGACAAAGAATGTCAAGTTCTGAGTTTTATATTGTGCGGAATAGAATAGTTAGTGCGATTTAATACTGAAGTAGTTCATTCTTGAGGTTGTTGAAGTATTAGGCTGCGATAAATTTGTCAACTTCCTGACTCGTTTGCCTGTTAGCGTTGAGATAGAGAACAGGTAAATTTAATTACTCAATCGTTAGTAGGATCTATTTTGCATCTTGATCAAGTTTCTGTGGTAATTAGGTTCTGTCTTAAACATTTGATGACCCCTCCCCCCTCCCCCCAATGTCTTGTGAACTTTCACACTAAGTTGAATGAGGTATCTACTTCTGCATCAGGCTTGGCATTACTATGGTTACTCACACCCGCATTAGCTACTACCACAGTTCTTAGTCGACCGGTGAATCATCTGTCTAGCTAGAGTTCTTTGGCTCGATTTATTGGAGGTTGTAAGTTCTCTTGGAAATTCACCTTGTAAGTACAGCTTACTATCTACTCTGTTTAGAGTCGGGCTGTTAGGACTGGGGGGGGGGGGAATAAAGTTTCCTCTGCGGTCGGTTGTCTTTATGCTAGTTGGAAGTTGGTT